AGGGAAACTCATGCTGCTTAATGAGTGTCCAGCCTGGCTTGCCAGCCTTTTTCTGCCACTGCCCAGCTGTGACCTTAGGTATAGCTTGAATTCCTGTGGTTTTGTTCCCGCTCTAAAGAGCTCTTATTTTATAACCTGGCAAAGCCAAGATCTGCGGGTTCTTTGTGTGAAACAAGAACATCTTTCTAGAAGGAAGTAGAACAAGCACCTGCTTCTGAAAATTACTTTTTATAAGAAAGTCTTGTTTTTGCTCAGTGCAGTTGTTTCCACATCTGAGAGGCTCATAAATGACATTCTCTTTGAATTATTAACTTTAATCTGTTTATAAAAACACAGAGATCACACTATTACTTACCGTGTGATTTCTCAGTTGTAATCATCTCTCACACAGAAAACTAAATATGATGTGTAGAACTATGAGAATAAAACACGACTTACATAGCTTCATTCTTTTGGAAATAGTAAGATTATCATAGGCCAGGGGCTCAGAACTAAAATTAGAACTAGTAAAAGAAAAGGTATAATAAAAGAAAATCAACAAAAAGCAATATGAATAAAGATGTTCATTGCTGTATATTTTATAATAGTAAAAAACTGAAAATAAATTTTCATTAATAGGAATATGACTAAGAAATTATGATACATTTATACCCTAAAAGTGGTAAGATAGTTAAAAAAAAGAGTATGTACCCTCAAGACATATTGAGTAAAAGAAAGTATATTTAGCTTATGTCCGGTGTGATTGCATGTGTGTATAAAAAAAAATGACATATCTTCTGATCTGACATATGTATGTTAATTCATAGAAGATCTGGAAGAAATAAAATGGTTGACAGTGTTATTTCTGGGAAAGAATTGGGGTTGGTGGGGCTTGGTGTGATGAGAAGGTCTCACTTTTTACTCTAGACTTCTATGTTTGGGGCATTTTATAAAACCATAGTCATGGGTGGGCTTTTTTTTTTTTTTGTAATTATAACACTTGAAACTACTGGAGAGGAAAAGATGTGTGACAGAGAAATTGGGGCACAGGTGGAATTTGAGCTCAGGAGAAGGAAGATGAAACACTTCAGATAGTGAGAGCTGGCACTTTATCACCAAATCTTGTGATATTTTGTGACTGGTGATTTGGAGCTTGTGCTGTGTTCTCAGGATGGCATATATATATATATACACATTCAGTTCAGTTCAGTCACTCAGTTGTGTCCAACTCTTTGCGACTCCATGGACTGCAGCACGCCAGGCCTCCCTGTCCATCACCAACTCCCAGAGCTTACCCAAACTCATGTCCATTGGGTTGGTGTACACACACACACACACACATGTGTCTGTCTGTCTGTCTCCTGCGTTAGTCTTCCTTGGTAGCTCAGTGGTAAAGAATCTGTCTGCCAATGCAGGAGACGTGGGTTTGATTCCTGGTCTGGAAAGATCTCCTGGAGAAGGAAATGGCGAGCCACTCCAGGATTCTTGCCTGGGAAATCCTATGGACAGAGGAGCCTGGTGGACTACAGTCCACGGGGTCACAAAGAGTCGGACACGACTGAGTGACTGAACAACGTGTCTCCTGCATCACTCCAAAAGCTGTGAGCTAAAATGGAAGACCTCCAAATCAAGAAAACCCAAAGGTTTTTAGAACAATTTTCACATTGCCTTTTTGGGTCTATTTGTAAGCATTGGGTGAGAAAAATTTCGTACCTTTAGGAAACAGGGACTCACTTCCATCTGTGATGAGAAGGTCTGCCGTGATAGTAGTGCAGTTGTATCAATCACAGAAGTCTTTTCTCTAGCCTGTAACTCTATTTGCATTTTGCTGGATGTGTTCATTCAGTCTGAAGCTCTTATTGAGCCCCCATTGGCCAGTCTGAGACAAGGCCCCTGCTCTCCTGGAGCTTCTAGTCCAGGGTGGAGAAGTGGACAAGGATGACAGTAAGCAGCAGGAAGTTGAGAGCTACTGTGCTGACGACTAAGCAAAGTGGTGTGATGCGGTGTAACCAGGGAACTGTGTTAAGAGAGGTGGTTAGGAAAGACTTCTTTGAGGAAGTCATTCATAAGCCCAGGAGTGCATAAGACAGGAAGGTGTCAGATGTGTGGTCATTTGAGGGGAGAGCGGTCCAAACAGAGGGACTAGAACAGAAGGTGAACAAGAGCTTGTGGGGTCGAGAGCTTGCTTCATAGCTGGGACTGACAGAGGGTGGACAGGCCAGAGAAGTCTGCAGGACAGGGTCATGTCGTGCGTGGGGGACAAGGTAAGGATTTTGGATTTTATTCGGGATTTAATGGGAAGCTATGATGGGGGTGAGGGTTGTCAACTTAAAAAAAAATGCACAACGTGAGAGTTACGAGTTAAGTTTTATTTTATATAATTTTACTTGTATTTATATTAATATAATTTATAATTATATAATATATAGCTATTAATACAATTTATAATATATGATATTAATTATCTAATCATCACTATAATTTATAATTATATTAATTATATAATTATTACTATAATTTATAATTCTATAACATAATTCTATTTATGTGTTTATTTTAAGCTGTGGGTCTTTGCTGCTGCACAGGCTTTTCTCGAGTTGCGGCGCATGGGCTCGGTAGCTGAGTCCCTGGGCTGGAGAGCACCTGCTCACAGGTTGTGGTGCACAGGCTTAGTTGCCTCACAGCAGGTGGGATCTTCCCAGACCAGGGATCGAACTTGTGTCTCCTGCATTGGCAGGCGGATTCTTTACTACTGAGCCACCAGGGAAGCCTGTGAGTTAAGTTTCAAATGAGGGGTCTCGCCCAGGAGACAGCACCTCAGATAGCTCTAGGAAACTGCTCCAAAGAGGCAGGGGGGAAGGTCAGTATATGTGTGATTTTAGTGATGGGAGAGTATATGCAATCAAGCACGTATTTTTCCAAAAGTTTTCTGCTAGTCTCGTGACGCTTTCTGCTAGTCACGAGGAATAGTCATCACCATGAAGGATTTTAGGGCTTTTCTAGATATGAGGAGATATACACAGTGGCTCATAAAATCAGCTCCTGAAAATATCTTAACTATCTGAAGACCTATCCTGCCAGTCCTGCTCATCCCCGGAGCACGGGGTGCCTCATTTCTGCTCTCCACCCTCAACTCCTTCAGGAGGTGTTGAAAATCAGTAGCTTCAGCGGCACATGTTTACTCCCTGCAGAGGTAGATGGCAAGTGCCAATTTGTAGTTGACAGGGTCAGATAGGGGATTGATTTAGATTTATAAAAGATATCTCTGAATAACTTGATTACAAACAGGTGAGAAGAATCAGGGAGACCATTGGAGAAATGGTGACTTAGACTAGGTGGGAGCTATAGATGTAAGCTTGTTGTTGTTGTCCTCAGTCACGTCTGATCTTTGTGACCCCATGGACTGTAACCTGCCAGGATCCTCTGTCCGTGGGATCTCCAGACAAGAATACTGGAGTGGGTTGCCATTTCCTCCTCCAGGGATCTTCCCCCACCCTGAGATCGAACCTGAGTCTCCTGCGTCTCCTGCATCAGCAGGCAGATTCTTTACCTCTGAGCTACCGGGGAAGCTCAGGAATAAGCTTGCTGGTGGGTTAAAGATGGAGAGCTCTGGAAGATAGGGTCATGATGACTCCTAGATTTGGGACTTCAGCACCTGGGGGGTATATTTCCTGAGATGGGGAAAACCAGGAAGGAGCAGATTTGGCCAGGGGGCAGGAGGAGGGGCTGGAAATCAGTGTTTCTTTGGATATGTCAGGTGTGATGCCCCTAGACAAATGTCAAATAAGCAGTAGGATACACTAATCTGGCATTCAGGGGAAGGGTCAGGAATAGAAATCCATGTGGGAGTCACCTGTATACATAAAGATGATGTTTAAAGCCCTTGAACTTTATGAGGACCAGAGCTTCGGCTTATTGAAGTGTACCCATGGACTTCACCCTTTGTTTAGGCTCAGTGTCCAAGCAGACACCTTCATCGCTAAACCTTCCCCTTGCCAATCTGGCAGGGACTGTTGAAGGCTGAGCTTTACAATGTGAGGGACAGCAGGAGAGTGTCAGGAAGACACACGTGCTGGGCTGTAATTAGTGACAAGAGTGCTTCTCATCTGTATCACTCTCAACATTGTAATCATCACCTGATTTACTAATGCGAAAAATGGAGCTAAAAAGCGAGTGGACCATTTTAAAGACAGCATCTAGATCACAGTGTGTTCTTTAGATATTATAAGCAAATCATAACTTTTTATTGCTTTTATAATCTAAGTAAGTTTCATAAGCTCATGTACAGTTACACAAAACCAAGTTTTTAGTGCTGTTGGTTGTTCTCAGTTTCACATGCCATGGGTCCACTTTGTTGAAATACGACCACAAAGTAAATAAAAAGAAGAAACATACGAATACTACCATATGTAAAACAGATAGCTAGTGGGATAGCTAGTGCAGGCAGCTCAACTCAATGCTCTGTGATGACCTAGAAGGGTGGGATGTGGGTTGGGAGGAAGATCCAAGGGGATGTATGTATAGTTATAGCTGATTCACTTCTTTTGTACAGCAGATACCAACACAACATTGTAAAGCAGTTATACCCCAATAATAACAATAATTTAGAAAACTATGAAAACATGTCTTTCCTCCTAGGCAGCATTCCCATTTTGGGTTTGACACTTAATTTTGAAATAATGCATGGAATGTTTTACATTTTGCTGTTGTTTTAGTTTTTTATCAGTGGTATCCTTATACGATACCTTGCATAAAAAGAATCATTGCATAAAAAGAATTATTTTTATGCTTTGAAACCCCTTTCCTATCTCAGTGTCATATCCCTTACATTTGCTGCTAATTTTATGACCTACTTATTTATTAATATTTTAGTTTTAGATCTAAGTGGAGTTTGCTGTGTTGTTTAGGGCAAAGTCCAGATTCTGTTGAAACATGAAGTTTCTTTGCTTCCTTATAAGATTGTGGAGTTAAAAAATATGATTGAGCCCTTGTTTATGGTAAATGATTCTCACTCATTGCAGATAAGCTCTCCAGTCCTCCAGCTGGCCATGTGGTGAGTTCAAGGTCCAATCCAACAGCACAAGGGAATTCACACTAGCCCTGAGCCCTGAAGATGGTGTCACAGTCTTCGAGCCGGCAGGACTCACCTGTGGACCCCTGGGAAGGGGTCAGCGATGACCCAGGCGACACTGATGGTTTGCCCAGCCTCCTGGACACTGAGCACCCCTCCTGCCCATCAGATATCAGGTTCACAAGGCACAAAGCTGCCTGGATTAACCCCCCATGTGTGCAGCAAGAGCTGCAGGACTCGTTCCCCCAGGGGCTCGCAGTGGGGAACAGAGAGAGCCACGCTGTGTCCAACACCAGATCTCCCTTGGGCGCTTCACCCTCGTCTCTTGGGGACTCCGCGGTGGAGACCTCACTGTCGAAGGGCACCACGGACTCCGTGGGCAGCTCCTCTGCCCGGGACTCTGCCGGCAACGGCAGTGACTCCTCTCTCACCTCGAAGGAAGAGCGGGCAGTGCTCCCAAGACGCTGTCCTCACACATCTCTGATCACGAGCTCCAAGACTGTGTCCGGTCCCCCACGTCCTGAGCATGGCAGGGCTTTTTTCAAGCCTTCCCAGCTGACAGCTTCTGCTGATGCAGGTAACTCTAGTTTGGACTTCCACCCTTCCTGTCTGATCTCACACCTGCTCTTGCTTGGGGCCGAGGCTGAGTATTCCTCGTGAGGAAACCCTTCCGGTTTTCCACGATGCTCACCAGCCGGGGCGCCAGCTCAGTTCATATCATCTTTAGCCCAGCCACTGGGAGGGTCACAGCTGATGGAGTCGAGGATCCCCTTTCTCCTGAGATGCAAGAGGACTTAGTCAGTAATCCGGGCCAGCTGGCGTCTTAGAGCGTGGGTGTGCGCCCTGTGGGAGAGCACCGGAAGTGCTCTGCATTCGGCGTCATGGTGGACAGCGGTCCCCGCAGAGTGGGCCCCGGTTCACACCAGCGCTCCTGTGGGAGAGGAACACACCTCCCTGTTAGATTCACCTGGACGGGGTGCGACTAGAAAAATCGTAAGGTTTAAAAACAGGAACCACAATTCCTCCAAACCGGACAAAACTTTTTTCCAATTAAAACCAGGTCTCCCGTTGCTCTAAGGTCAGGCGCATATTCCTAAAATGCAAAAATTCTGAAACCCAAGTAATCCATGCCAGATGCCACGCGAGTCAATAAATTAAGCTCTTCTTGTTATTATGATTTGTGGCATGCTTAGTTAATTTTAAATATTAACTATACTATATTCACTTTGCATTAATTTGTATTTTTGTTGGAATCCTAGTTCAAATAGTCAAGGAAGTTTTTTATTTCAAAGCAATTTAAAAGCTGCCTTTTAAATTGTGTGTGTATGTGTTTGTGTGTGTGTGTACAAGCACGTGTATTTATTTCTTATTAGCAGAAACCAGTCCTCTCCCTTTCCTAAGATATGCAGTTTATTTGTTCTACTGAAACTTTTGAAAACTCAGAGATAGTGACAATCTTTAACATACAATTTAAGAGTAAGCAGATTCCGGACAATCTTTTCAATGAGTTAACTTTGAGGTAAGAACCAAGTTTGAGCAATGTGGCACAGTATGCATGCTCAGTAGCTCAGTCTGATTGCAGGCCTTTTTTTTCCTTTTTGCTCATCTGCCTGGATAGTTCTCAGGAAAAAAGTGACTTGCAAATTTAGTGGTTGAAAACTGAGAAATTAGTCTCCTACTTGATTGTCTCACAGGAGGGTGAGGAGAAAAGAGAGAAAATTGAAAGTCTTTCCCACAGAACACCACCATGACAAGTTATAAACAGAAGATGATCTTTAGGGCCTAATGTACCCCTGCCCCGAATAACTTTTTGTGTTCCTGAGCAAGAAGTTGTTCTGCAATGTAAAATTATCCTTTCTGGGACTTCCCTGGTGGTTCAGTGGTTACAACTTTGCTTTCCAGTACAGAGGGAGCAGGTTATATCTCTGTTCAGGAAGCTAAGATCCCACATGCCTCTCAGCTAGAAAAAAAACAAAACAAAACATAAAACAGAAGCAGTATTGTAACAAATTCAATAAAGATTTTTAAAAACTGGTCCACATCAAAGGATATCTTTAAAGAAAAGTAAATAAAATTATTTATGTACAAACACACCAGCCCCTTCTGTTCAAAAACAGTGAAAACCACTCCATTTTTTGACCATCTGTCTTAAACCTGGCAAGGGGATTCATTCCCCCAGTTTAAGGAAAAGAAGCCCCGAGTGATCTGGTTCTTTCTTTGGTGTAGGAGGCAGCAATAGGCAGAATAGGCATTTGCCATGAGGCATTTTCCTGGATCTGCTGCATCTGAAATGGCAGTAGCAGGGATTTCCTTTCTTAGATTATATGGAAGGGAAACACAGCTGAGCCTGCCTGCAATTTCCTGAGGCTGTAAGAAACGGTTCCTTTTGTTGGCTAAGGATCTCCATGTTTACAGTGCTCCTACATTCCTCAGCTCCTTTAGTTTCCTAATAAAATGATTATCCTAATTCCTAGGATGAGGAAATTTTACTGCAGAGGCACAGCTGGTGTGTGGAGAGCTGGAACTGGAAGGCGCTGCCTGATTTTTCTCTGCATTTTCCCCTCTATCCTCAGAGTCCCCAAACCAGTACCTGTAACCCAATGCCACCAGACTTCTGATTTTACAGATAAAGCTGTGTTTGTTTTGTTTATAGCTGCTTTCTCAGGGCATTGGCAGAACTGAGTAATAATTGCAGCAGGTGCTGTGTGGCCCTCAGGCCCTACATTTACTATATAGTCTTTTTCAGAAAAAGTTTGCCCACCCCAGATGGCTTCTGAAGCTAAGAGGTCCAAAGTTTTCCATGGAACAGTGGAGTTCTTGAACAGGAGGCAAGGAAGGGGTTATGTTACTGAGTCCAAACCCACTCTGCTCATCACACGACAGGTCAATTAACTGAGAGATGAGGTGTTGAGGCAAGGAATATGACTTTATTCAGAAAGCCAGCTGACCCAGAAGATGGTAGACTAATGTCTCAAAATAACCATCTTATCAGGGTCTGGATGCCAGGTTCTTTTATAGAACAGAGATGGGGGAAGTGAGGATGTAAAGTAAAAAAGACGGTTAATGTTACAACTATCTCCTGGAATGGCCAGCCTCCAGGAAGGAATGTGTTAATTTTTTCCTTCCTATAGCCATCTACTGGTGGACAGGGTCCTGAACAAAAGGCATTTTGGCTTAACATTCAGGCAGAGGGGCAGGGTTCCCTGAGGCAGGCCATTATGTGTGGACAGTATCCTTTCAGTGAAGCAAAGCAACGGGAAGCACAGGTTAAAGTAGAAGAAACAGATCCATCATGGAGTCAGTTCTTCGCTGCAGTAGTTGGAGGAATCCTGCTGGCCTCTCTCTTTGCCACCCCAAGAGCTTTAAAACCATCAAGACATCCGTAGCACTTGGTTCTGATTCATCAGCTCGGGACAGCAGCGCTTATGGATGTCACAGAAATGTTTGCCGTATGTGCTGCAATCAGATATCACATGACAGACCTCATTTTTGTCTTGGTGGCGTTCATTGCCAGTAATGGAGTGGCTTAATAAGGATGCAGAATAGATGAGTCAGCCGAATATAACCTTTGCAGTTTCTTCTTGTTTCTGACTAGAGGAAGATCATTTTAGAGAAGCGGTGCTGACCTTTTTCAGATAGATTTTGTTACTGTAAACAGGAAGTTTTAGGTCATTTGCAGTGAGTTGGAGGAATGATCCCGTAATTCTTATGGTCTTGCTTCCAGACTGTTCCTTCTCATCTCCTGTAGGTAGTTTACACGATCCTCTTCTCTTTCCCCTCTTTCTTCACTGCTCTCCTCCATTCCCGTGGTTCTCCCTTGCCTCCTCTAAGGATTCCTCTCATGTTATTCCAGTAGCTTCCTGCAGAAATGATGACCCTCTGCCATCTACAATGCCTACCATCAGAGGAGTCTTTCTTCTTGTGTCATCATATTTTATTCTAGAATTGTGCCAATATTTTAAACAACATTTGAAAGTCACTCCCTAAAATTGTTTTCTTAGATAAACTTTGAATTTCTTTTTCTCCATTTTTGATAACTTGCTGTCTTGGCAGATGCTGTTCAAGTTGGCGGAAGAACTATTTCCTCAAATTCCTTCTCACCAGAGGCATTCGTTCTCCCTGTTGATGTAGAAAAGGTGAACATGGCTTCCTTCTTTTTAAAACCACCAAGAGGGTTAACACTTTGAAGTATGCCTGTTCTGATTTCAGTCTGTAAACTTCACTGGAGGAGGTGTGGCAAATAAGTTTCATTTCAACATTTGACTGGTACGGTCTGACTTTAGCAGGGAAATTTTCCATGATTGATGAGTAATGTCTCCCATTGCAGCACCACCAGTCTAGGGTTTAATATCACAGGAAATTCAACTTGTGTCATCTTTTGGTTTCAGTGGGCTAAATCTTCCACCTCTGGAAGATATGGGCTATTCTTGATGTAATGACCTATGATAACACAGTGAAATAAATATATGTCTATGCATTAACTCCACTTAAATATAACTTAAATATAACTCCACTTAAATAAATTAGATTGATTTTTCAATCTAATACACCCTCAGTGTTGGGGGGGGTTGGAAACCAAGTTGATTATGCTTGTGAGAATTTTAACTGATCATCTTTGCCTCTGCAGGAAAATGCCCACTTTTACGTTGCAGATATGATTATATCAGTCATGGAGAAAATAAAGTGTAATATTCTAAGTCAGCAACACACAGAGACCTGGAACACCGAAGAGGCCGGCAGGCCGCTTGGGAGTGATCAGGCAGACTTGGAAGGGACCTTTTATACCCATGTAAAGCAGGAATCTGGGTCTTCCACTTCGTCTGACAGTGGCTATGAAGGTGAGTGAGGAGAAATATGAGGAAGCTTTCTGCTATATTCTCCGCACACAGCTGTCAAACTGTCCTTCTGGAGTAACCTGACGATCCCCACCATTTCTGCCACTTGACTTGGAATTAGAATGGAAATGGAATTGGAATGTGCCACTCAGTTGTGAAATCCACGTGCTTTTCCTTAGGCTCAGTCCTGCTTTCCCCCTTCCTCTGTCTTGTCACCCAGCATTCCTCTTCTTACACTGGCTGCCTTCCCCACATTGTCCTCTTTCATTCATCCTGGTAACAAGGAGTCCGTGATGCACTGGGTATCCACAAAAGTTGGGGATCCACAGGTGGGGCTTTGCCTGAAATATTTTATAAGTATGTGTTGAATTGGTTGACTGGAAGCTCATGTTTAGCTGAATTTTTTAAAATATTAATATGTTAAATAAAATTTAAAATATTTCTACCACCCAGATAAAAAATTGATCTTTTATCAAGTATCACCCTTGTGACATTTATGGTCATAGAGGTTACTTCATGAGGTAGAGCAGAGTTCAACAAATTGCAGATGGATCCAGATAGTATTAAAAAAGCAAACAAACAATTGGACAGTATCAGCACGCACCTCACATGGGGTGAGTGATGCTTCCTGGAACTTTATCAGTGATATATATTTTTGTGCCTGTAGCAGGTTGCAAAGTAAATTGTATGTTACTGCTTATCATGATCAAAAGAGTATAAGAAACACAGAAGTGGGTGAAACTGCCCCCATTTAACCCAGGAGGAAACCAAAGCTGAGAAATTGATATCCCCCAGCTAGAATGTTTTTCCAGTGATCACATTTTCAGTGAGGGTGTTTCTCGAAGAGCATGATTTGCAAAGTCTTTTCCCAGTTATTTGGCATTTAGGTGGCTTTCAATATTTTAACACTTTAAATGGATTTAAAAACTCCTTTGTGATCACAACCTTCCTTTTTCACTTTTTTTCCCCCCGGGGGAAAAAAATCCTAAGCCAAATCCCCAAACCGGGAATAAGGAAAAAAAAGCATGAACATATTTGTATTAGTGTCTTGGAGCTCCTGTAGCAAAATACTACAAATTGGGTGGTGTAAGACAACAGAAATGGATCCTTTCACAGTCATGGAGGTCACAGGTTGGCCATGGAATTGTCTGGAAGGTTGATTCCTTCTAGAGGCTTTGAGGGAGAATTTGGTCCCTGTCTGTCTCCAGACTCTGGACAGTCGCTGCTGCTCCTGGCTTGTAGAGCATCCCTCCAATGTTCACAGGATGTTTGGTCTCTGAGTATCTGTGTGTGTGTGCAAACTTCCCTCTTTTTACACTCACATTGGCTCTAGGTCTCACCCTGATCCAGTGTGACTACAGCTTGCCTTGATTACAAGGACCCTGTTTCCATATGAAGTCACGTTCACAGGTGCTGGGTAGGGGACATTTAGGGGAACATATTCAACCTAGTGGATTCCCCAGGTGGCTCAGTGCTAAAGCATCTGCCTGCCAATGCAGGAGACACAGGAGACATGGGTTTGATACCTACGCCAGTTATTCTTGCCTGGGAAGTCCCACGGTGGGCTACAGTCCATGGGGTCAAAGGAGCTGGACACGACTGAGTGAGCACACACACTCAACCTAGCACAATGTTCATGTCACCTACACTCTTTTCCTTACTGTGAACAAAAACAACAAAAGATTGTTTTTCCCATCTCTTCCATTTATTAAACTTTGTATTATGGAAATTTTCAAACTTCCATGGAAGTAGGTAGAATACTCCTATGGACCCCAATAGACTCATCAGTATGTTTCACTTAATCTTGTGAACATAAGAACAACACAAAAATAGCTCCCTGCCCTTTTTATTTTAACTGGAGGATAAGTACTTTACAATATTGTGATGGTGTTTGCCATGCATGATTCAACATGAATCAGCCCTAGGTATACATGTGTCCCCGCCGTCCTGAACTCCCCTCCCACCTCCCTCCTCACCCCCTGACCTTTCTAATTATTGCAGCTGAATTTTAAGATTCTTTTCAGTTCAACTCAGCCCTTTCATTCCTCCATTTCAATGTAGCCAGGTATTGTAGGTTAGACAGTCTTTTTTTCTTCCTTTCTTCCTCTAGGTTGCGCTGTGTTACAGGTGAGCCCAGTGGTTGAAACACCTACTTTCTCTGAGGTGACGGAAGAGGACTGCAAATGTGACTTTGATGACTTTGTTATCGTAGGTGAGATTTGCAAACTGTGATGTTGGCTGTGATGGAGGCACCCTCCCCCACACACCTGATGACACTCATCACACACAACACAAGACACTGTCATTCAGGGAAACCCCTCCCCAAATCAGGCTGTGTCCCTGATGTTAAAAAAAATATATGGTGTCTTGATATTAATCTCTCATCTCATGTAGATTTGAATGCAAAAGTAGATACCATTAGGGTCTGATATCTGTTTGGCCCCCTCCATTATATTTTGGTGAAATTTCAGATGGGCATATTTTAAAATCCCATCTGTGGCCTCATAATAGCTGTTATCTCATAACAGAAATGCAAAAGAACCTGAAGGATGGAGATCTTGAATAATTGGTCCTGAGATGTAGGCAGCTAGTTTTGTGTTCGTATCAAATTGACTGTGATTAACAGAAACAGACTAAAAGCCCTCCATTACCTTCTCTTTGATTTTCCCACAGAACTTGGAGATTTCAGCAATACCACAGAGCCCTGTGGATGTTCCTCCGACACCTCTAAGAGGTATCTCCCTCCCACTTTCATCAGCACACAGACCCCTGGGCCATCTCCTCTGAGGCACTGTGGACACCAGGCATCTGACATCTTGGGCCAAACTCAGCCAGTTCCAATAACAGGGATCACTGTCTAGAAATGAAACAATCACCACAAAAGTTCCTCCAGTGTTTTTAGAGTGTTTGAAAGACTTGTACACATTCTCATTTAATCCTCATGGGTGGGATGGGCAGGGGTTTTTAAACCCAGTTTTATGGGTGTAGAAACTGAGGTTCAGATGAAATGTGCATCAGGACACCATGCTGTTAAATAGCAGCGGGAGAACGCAGACCCGCTTCCCAGTTGGCTCAGGGGAGAAGAATCCGCCTGCCAATGCAGGAGACGTGGGTTTGATCCCTGGGTGCAGAATATCCCCTGGAGAAGGAAATGGCAACCAACTCCAGTATTCTTGCCTAGGAAATCCCATGGACTGAGGAGCCTGCTGGGCTGCAGTCCATGGGGTCACAAAAGAGAGGTCTTGAACCCAAGTCTTCTGACTTTAAACCCGGTCCTCTTCTCCCCACCCCTCCCCACCTTGGTACCCTGAATAAATACAAGCTGCTCTGTGGAACGTGGAGGGATTGAGTTAAGTAAGATAACTGTTGGTGCGTGGTTGATGCATATGTGGTCTGCTGTGTGTCACCTCCTCTGCTTTTTTGAGGAGGGGAAATAGTTAAAAACCCGAAGCAAAAGACCCTTAACATACTTCTTATGAAAATCATTTTCCATGTTTGCATCTCTTACACTGCAGTGTCATTCATGAGCCAAACTTCAATTCTGCTGAGCTGATAGCCAAAGAGTTATACCGCGTATTCAAGAAATGCTGGATGCTGGCAGAAGTTCATTATCAGCTGGCAGGCTCCCTCGATGAAGCTGGCTCCATAGTAAGTCTCAACAGAATTTGATCTTCAGTTCTTAAATTCTCATTTTGCCTGCTCTCCACATCAGAGGTTTCTGTGTTTCCTTGTATGACTGTTGGGTGTTAGGGGAGACTCAAAAGCAAGGATGAATCTGATGTTTATTGGGTGTTTGTAATGTACCAGGGCCTGTGCTCAGCAATTCATGTCTTAATCCTCACATATCTCCTATGGGTAGATGCTATTGTTAATTTATTTTTAAAAAATTTTATTTATTTACTCATTTATTTATGGCTGTGCTGGGTCTTCATTGCTAGGCACAGGTTTTTCTCTAGCTGTGGTGAGCCAGGGCTAATGCAGTGGTTTCTCTTGTTGCAGCGCATGGGCTCACTAGTTACAGCTCACAGGCTCAGTTGCCCTGCGGCGTGTGGAATCTTCCCAGACCCGGGATCAAACCCACGTGCCATACATTGGCAGGTGGATTCTTAACCACTAGACCACCATGGAAGCCCATTATTTTAAGTTTAAGGTGTTAGCTGCAGACCCTCAGTGGGGCTGGTCAGTGGTAGAGCGGGAGTCGAGCCCCCAGCCTGCCTCATTTGAAAGTCCAGGCTGGTCCCCTTGTGGAGCGCACTGCCCTCCAAGCAGGCAGCTCACTGCGGGCAGAGCATGGGGTGGCAGAGGCTGTAATCGGGGCAGGAGAGAAAGCACACCGGAAGTGCAGGGAAGGCGGTGTTCCATGTCATCAGGGGAACTTGCAAAGGCTGAATGGAGATCTCAGGACTTGAGCCAAGTGTCAGGCCAGGCAGAACAGCAGCAGGTCAGGCAGGGGTGTATGAAGGGCACTCTGGGTGAAGGAGCAGCTGGAGTAAAAGTGACTGGGAGGTGCATGGTGCTTTTGGGTTTTGGTTCTTTTGGCTGCATCATCTTAGTTCCCTGACCAGGGATCGAACCTGTGCCCCCTGCAGTAGAAGCACAGAGTCTTCACCACTGGACCACTGGGGCAGTCCCCGTGGTGTGTCTGTTGAGCAGAGTCATTTGATGTAGTTGGAGAACATATTTGTGGGTAGTGCGGTATGTTTGGGGGAGGGTTCATCTTAATCTTCCTGGGAAATAAGGCTCAAAAGCGGCCAAACTGTGGAGGATGTGGATGGTAATCGGAGAAGTCTGGAGTTTAGATGCCAAGAGGAAAGTTTCATGGTCGGGGTGGGGGTGGGGTCTGCACCTGTACAAGCTGGGCAGTGTCTGCAGAGAATAATTCCTGGAGAAGGGGATTCAGATCCACAGCGTCTGTCAGCCATTGACGAGGCAGGGTGAGGCTTGGGCTTCTGCTAGGCAGGAAGGCATTCCAGTTCACACTGACCTACTTACAGTAATTCGCAGTCTGGAAACAAAAAAACTAACTAAAAATTCCAAGCAGAGTGATCTCAGCTGGGTGGCGTCTGAAGCAGTTCTCCTGCAGAGGGTTTTAGACACAGAGACGGCTCTGGCCAGCTTCTGTTACTCACTTAAAAGCCGTTTTTATTTTTCAAGGTAAAGGTTAATGTTGGGAACACAGCTGAACGTTCTTTTCATTTCAGTTTTTGAAATGTGCTTGTTTAAGCTGCTCCTGACTCCTCTTCTGGGTTATTTATGCAGGTTGTAAACGAAGAGCGGGTCCAGAAAGACTTTGAATCCAGCACAGATGTCGTCCAGGAAATTAAACTGAAGTCAAGGATCAGACGGACTGGAGACTGGGCGCCCCCTAGGTTTCAAATCATATTTAATGTTCATCCACCACTCAAGTAAGTCTAGGCTGCTGCTTTGACTACCCATCCAGTTAGAACACAAGCTGTGACGGGTTCCTTCTGTCTCTTCATGGAGACGGGTGAAGGCAAGAAATAAAACACCAAGGGACAAAGGAAAATTTGTTTTGGGAGAAAGAAATTTGGGCACATTTTTCTGAGTTAGCTTTCTTGGCACCCCATTTACCATGGGCTTTTGGCCTCTGTAAGTTTTGACACGTTGAGAATTTAACTATGTTTCCTTAACTATGAACATTACATAACAATTGAGAAGTAAACAGGCTCATATTAAGTGGCTAATGGTGAACCTTAAAAATATCATACAGTAATTTTAAGACTAGACCACTCTATTTTCTAGGGCAATGTGGAATAAAAAGTCAGTGAATTCATTTTTTTAAAGGAACACTTCATCTTGAGGAGAACTCTTATAAACTGAACTAACTAACTTATAGTCAAAAAACGTGACAGAATGCAAATGAAAACACCTCTGTTCTCTAAGAAGTAACAAAATTCTAAAAGACAAATAAGATGGTGCAAAAAGGATATACAGATATATATATATATATATAATAATTTAAAGTAGTGCTGTGCTGAGTTGCTCAGTCATGTCTGACTCTTTGTGACCCCATGGACTGTAGCCCGCCAGGCTCCTCTGTCCATGGAATTTTCCAGGCAAGAATACTGGAGTGGGTTGCCATTTCCTTCTCCAGGAGATCTTCCTGACCCAGGGATGGAACCCAGGCCTCCCGCATTGTAGGCAGACACTTTACCATCTGAGCTATCAGGGAAGCCCATTGCAGGTATATCATATGCTCTTTTTCTATTAAAATGATTTTTTTTAACAGACAATTGTTTTTCTATTGACTTTTGGTTAGGTATTTTGGGCCATAAAATATTCTACTTTTATGGTGTTAAATATGTATATCTTCTTACTTCTAAAGTTCTTTCCTTATTTATGATGGTTTGGCCTCTATAGATGTTATGTTTAGGTTTCAAGATTTATGCCTAAAACATAATAGTTACTCTTAACCTGAGGGTTTAAGCCCTCTGATTTTTTGTTAGATGTGTGACACAGGGAACCACTTCACTCTCTTTCACATTTTCAGAGCTTTATGCTAGCTTGTATTCAACAATCCAGCCTGTTCCAAATGAAATACAAGCTTGTCATATATTAAATGCCCCTGTATACTGAGACATAAGTCCTGACATTCAACAAACAATAAAAAAGCATCTGCCTCCTGTGTTAGGAGATGGGTTCTTTTCCACTAGGTGTCATCTGGGGGGAAAAAAAAGCATTTGCCAGACAGAAATTTCCAGAATCTTTATATGTTACACTCTTACATGTCAAGGTCTTTGGTAATTTAATTATTTTTGATGTGTTAACATACTTACGCTGTGTAATATGTTTCAGTTAGTTTTCAATGCTCAATACAATTTTGTTTAATTCAATTGTTTGAAAACCATGCCATTTAACCTAACTGTCCTCTGTCTCACTTTTTTGCTTTATAACATCTTGTTTTCTTAATTGACTCTCTATATAAGTGCACATATGTTTACATATCTTTCTGAAAATGTAAAAGTGAGCAAAGCAGGTAAAATCCTTGCTTCTTTGCTAATTGAATCATAACGGGAAAAGCAGAGTTCATGAAATAAAGGCGAGTATGATGTAATAACCTGAGCTAAATTGCACAAAGAAAAATAATTGGATAAGAGGGTGTATTGTAACGGGGTGCTCAGGATTTTATAGAGTGTGGTCTGAATATTGGACAAGCAACAAAACCATGAACAGTTATGTCCACTGACTTGGCAAAAAGATATCAAAACCCAAAGTCTGAGGATAACAAAAAAGAAGATGCCACTTAAGAAAAGTGACAAATGAACTTGCTTTGTGCTCTATTGGATGACATAAAGACAAAATCATCAAATAAATATGGAATCAGTTCAGTTCAGTTGTTCAGTCATGTCTGACTCTTTGAGACCCTATGGACTGCAGCATGCCAGGCTTCTCTGTCTATCACCAACTCCTGAAGCTTATTCAAACTCATGTCCATCAAGTTGGTGATGCCATCCAACCATCTCATCCTCTGTCATCTGCTTCGCCTCCTGCCTTCAATCTTTTCAAGCACCAGTCTTTTCCAAAGAGTCAGTTCTTCACATGAAGTGGCCAAAGATGTTTCAGCTTCAGCATCAGTCCCTCCAAGGAGAATTCAGGACATATTTCCCTTAGGATGGACTGGTTGGATCTCCTTGATGTCCAAGGGACTCTCAAGAGTCTCCTCCAACACCACAGTTCAAAGGCATGAATCCTTCAGCCCTCAGCTTTCTTTATAGTCCAATTCTCACATCCATACTTGACTACTGGGAAAACCGTACCTTTGACTAGACAGACCTTTGTTGGCAAAGTAATGTCTCTGTTTTTTAATATACAGTCAATATTGGTCATAACTTTTCATCCAAGGAACAAGCGTCTTTTAATTTCATGGCTGCGATCACCATCAAAGTGATTTTGGAGCCCCCCCAAGTAAAGTTTGTCATTGTTTGCAGTGTTTCCCATCTATTTCCCATGAAGTGATGGGACCAGATGCCATGATCTTAGTTTTCTGAATGTTGGTTCTAAGCCAACTTTTTCACTCTCCNTGCTGGGAAACATTGAAGGCAGGAGGAGAAGGGGATGACAGAGGATGAGATGGTTGGATGGCATTACCAACTCAATGGACATGAGTTTGAGCAAGCTCTAGGAGTTGGGAGTTGGTGAAGCAAGGAAACCTGGCGTGCTGCAGTCCATGGGGTCACAAACAGTTGGACACGACTGAGCGACTGAACTGAACTGAATGTATATTAGAATATGTATTTAAGGTTAACTTAATGTATGTCCTACAAATAGACCTTCTTTTTGGGGGGTTGGAGATCGGGATTGACATATGTATACAACTGTGAACAAAGCACATGACTTGTGAGAACCTAGCGTATAGCACAGAAACGGGGGACGTGCGTTGTTCTTATGTCTAAGATGAGAAATTGTTACAGTCACTTCATAACACTGCCTTCTCTGTGGTGAAGAGGCCACTGTGACCTGCACTGTAACTGCCCATTGCTTTACGACTCTCATCTCCCAGCTCTTGCCCCATCGGGCGTTGAGCTCAAGCCACATGGCCTCCCTGCTGGTCCTTGAAGGTTACAGGCTCACTCCTGACTCAGGGATCTGCATCTGTGCTTTTCTCCCCCTGGAATGCCCTCCCCTGGACACGCCGCGCGCCCTCCCACAACTGGGGCCAGTTCCCTTCCTTCCTTCCCATCTGCACTCTCACGTCTTCCTTGGCTGCCCTATTGAAACTCCACCTCATCACCCTCTTGGCTACAAACACCCACATACACTTGATATTCCCCTTCCTTTTTGTTTTTATTCAAGTCCTTATCTCCCTAAAATACTCTATCTTATTGATCTTCCTTATTATTATCTGTCTCTCACTAGATTCTAAGTTCCATGAGGACAGATACGTGGTTTATTTTATTTTTAATTGACTGTTATTCAAGTATACTTGCTTTACGATTTTGTGTTACTTTCTGCTGTCCACCACAGTGAATCCGTTATATGTTTACACATATCCCCTCTTTTTCGAATTTCCTTCCCATTTAGGTCACCACAGACCACTGAATAGAGTTCTCTGGGCTATACAGCAGGTTCTCATTAGTTATCTATTATACACATATTATCAGCATGTGGTCTGTGTTATCTATTGCTTTATCTCCTGCTCCTGCAAGTATGCCTCACTCACAGTTGGGACTTGAAAGATACTTGTTGATTAGATGGCTTACCTAGGACCTAACCAGACTCCTCTGAGAAAGTTTGAGGGAGTGGCCTCAGGGCCTAGAAAATCAGGTTTCACCCAATCAGAAAAGCGAGTTGCCCAGTTCAGACTGGGAATCACTTATTTTGCTGTAAGAGCATCCATAGGTCTGACCTGTGGAAGCCTAGGAAGAGGAGATTTGCTGGAAAGGGTTCCCTTGGCCTTTGATAGGCGTTCTGGGATGGAGTAAGACTTTGAGCATCTCCACCTCAAGAAATAAAAACAAAAAGCATAAATCCATCTGAACTTCCTACCATGCCTGCCATGGTAGAATGATAGTGCCTGCCATGCATCACAGTTGGAAATGATTTTCTTTCAATGACTCATCTTCCCAGCTAAAGTCTAGTGGGGACCATATCTCTCTGGTTAACCACTGTATCCTGGTGCCTCAGTAAATATTGAATGTATGAGTCAGAAACTGTGAAGATGTGTGACTATGATTCCACCAACTTTTAAAGTACCTCCCAGAGTTTGTTCAGATGTGAAGATGATTCGTTGATAGGAATGTGCTCCTTCCCTCATGGAGCTTGCTGACAGGATGTCATCAGCCAAGTAAATAACTGGGTGATACTTTCAATGAAAGAGAAAGTCAAGAATGCTATGGGTGTTATAGCCAGGGAACTTAATCCAGGCTTATTGGCCTGGGAGTGAAAGGTTGCCTAAGGAAGTGATTGTCCCCAAAGGGGGGAGAGAGAGAGAGTGAGAGTGAGTGAGTGAGTGTGTGTAGGGGATGCGGGTCACCATATATGTTTTTCAGATCTTTACTGGTTATGTTTTCTCTTCCCATGTATTCCCATCCTTTGTGCATTTTTCTGTTTTATTTCTTCCTCATGGATTTATCCAAGAACTCTTTTAGGATACTACTTTCTGATAGCATACAGAGTGTGCGTTACCATGAAAAAGCATTTTTCATACCTGTGGTATCACAGAATACAATTCTGGGCTGTTTTTGTGGCTTCAGGACAATTAGCCTGAAGAGATTCGGGCTTGTCAGAGTCTTCCTGCCAAGTAGGAGGTTGGGTCTGAACTCTCACCAATTCCTCAGACCTTGAATCTCATGTTCTGTTGGCCATGTGTCAGCTTAAAGGCCCATCTTCCAAATCCAGGTGTTTGGGGCAGGGTTCTGTTTTCCAGCACCCATTCCACAAAAGTGAAGCTCGTGACCCTCCATGACTCAGGGCCTCCAGTGTCTGCTGTTCTCCCCAGCATGAGAACAGCCATCTTGAGTCTCGACCTTGGGCGGGCGTGGGAGGCGAGGGCGGGGCGAGGGTGGGTTTCCGGCCTCAGGTGAGCCGGTGCTCATCGTCCTGTGCACCCTGGCAGAGTTCGTGAAGCGGCTCCGGTACTGCGAATACCTGGGGAAGTACTTCTGCGACTGCTGCCACTCGTACTCGGAGTCCTGCATTCCCGCCCGGATCCTCAGGATGTGGGACTTCCGGAAGTACTACGTCAGCAACTTCTCCAAACGCCTGCTCGACCACATATGGCATGAGCCCATCTTCAACCTGCTGCACGTCAGCCACGGCCTGTACACGAAGGCCAGGGAACTGGACAGAGTGAGGGTGAGCAGCCACCTTTCCTGGGGGAGGGAGTCCAGTGGCCGAAAGGGCCCTGTGGCAGTAAGTGGACGTCTCCCCCTGGCTCTGGGGATCCAGAGAGAGCCTTTCAGGGGTGGACTTACTATCCAGCAGCTGGAGCTTATGCTTCAGAGACCTCCTGCTTAGGCTCTTCTCAAAGCCCCATACCCAGATCTTATCTTTATGCCTAGTTTTGTTTGTACCTAGCTTTTGAATTTTATTATCTTTTAAATGGGGCTTCCCTGCTAGCTCAGTCAGTAATGAATCTGCCTGCAGTGCTGGAGACCAGGTTAGATCCCTGGGTAGAGAACATCCCCTGGAAAAGGAAATGGCAACCCTGCTCCAGTATTCTTGCCTGGAAAATCCCAAGGACAGAGGAGCCTAGTGGGCTACAGTCCATGGGGATGCAAGAGTCGGACACAACTTAGCGACTCAACAACCACCATCTTTTAAAGAAAAATTGTATGTGTTTAAGGGGTACTACATGATGACTTGATGTACATGTACACAGTGAAATGATTGATAGTCAAGCTAATTAACATATCCATCCCCTCATGGGGTTACCTGTCTGTGTATGTGATGAGAACACCTAAAACTTACTCTCTTAACAAATTTCCAGTTTTTAATACAGTCCCGTGAATGATACTCATCATGCTGTACATGAGATCTCTAGACTTATCCTTGTTGTTTAGTCGCTAACTCATGTCCAGCTCCTTCCCAATGCCGTGGTCTTATCCTAGGTAACTGTAACTCTGTGTCCTGGGCCAGTTATCTCCCCATTTCCCCACCTCCTCACTCCAGGATCCACCATTATAGTCTGTGCTTTTATGTACTTGACTTTTTTAGATTCCCTGTATAAATGAGATCAGGCAGTTCTTGTCTTTCTGTGTCTGACTTCACTCACTTGGCATAATGTCCTCCAGGTACATCCATGGTGTCTCCAATCACAGAATCTCCCTGTTTTGTACATAGTTTGGTATTTTTTAAAAAAGAAGGCCCCAGACATCGTGTAAGCTTTAGACTCCCCAAGACCTGGGTCCTTCCTGGGCCCTCTGTAGATCTCTGGACTCAGTCATGGGCCACTTTATAGACTGTGCATTATATGCTTTATATATATGCACAGTCTATATGCTTTATAGACTGTGCATTATATGCTTTATATATATGCACAGTCTATATGCTTTATAGACTGTGCATTTCAAAGGCTTATTTTCTAGAGTTGTAGCATTTCAAGGTTAGAAATAACATTTAATTTTGACTTATAATTTCCAGTGTTACTTATCACATTACACTTCCCCCCCCCCATTTGGTTTCTCACATTAGGAAATCCAGGAGCAGCTGTTTCATATCAAGAAGCTGTTGAAGACCTGCAGGTTTGCTGAAAGGTACCACTGCTGGCTGGGATGGGCTGTGCCATGAATGGGAGGTCTGATAACCTCCACACTCTTGCTGGTCCTCTGTGCTTTGTGGTCCATCTCCACCAGTGCACAGTGATCATCTCATGCCTCTCCTTGGGGATATAGACACTCTCTTGAATGTTGCTAAACGTTCTTACTCACTACCAGGGAATTTAACATGTCAAGAAGAATGGACCAGTTTAAGTATAAAACAACCCTAGGCAGTGGGATTTTATTATTGTTTTGAAAAAAAAAATGAAAGTGAAAGTTGTTCAGTTGTGTCCAACTTTTGTGACCCCAAGGACTGTAGCCCACTAGGCTCCTTTGTCCATGGAATTCTCCAGGCCAGCATACTGGAATGGGTAGCCTTTCCCTTCTCCAGGGTATTTAAGTTGTGATAAAATACACGTAACATAAAGTTACCATCCTAACCCTTTTTAAGTGCACAGTTAAGCGGTTAGGTACATTCATGTTGCTACCATCATCACCATCCATCCACAGAGCTCTTTTCATTTTGTGGAACTGAAACTCTTTACCCACAGTAGTTCTCCATCCTCTGTTCCAGCCTGTGGGAACCATCATTCTCTTTTCTGTCTCTATGATTTTGACTATTCTAAGTACCTCATATGGGTGGAATCATACAGTGTTTATTGTTTTGTGCCTGGCATTTCATGTAGCATCATGTCTTCAAGCTTCACTCACACTGTGGCCTGTGTGAGTATTTCCTTTGAAAGGCGGAGTGATGTTGAATATACATACATTGTCTCTATATTCCATCTTTTGTTGACTGATCCATCCACCTTGGGTTGCTTTCTTTTGGTTATTGTGACTAGTGCTACTCTTTTCATTTTGTGGAACTGAAACTCTTTACCCACAGTAGTTCTCCATCCTCTGTTCCAGCCTGTGGGAACCATCATTCTCTTTTCTGTCTCTATGATTTTGACTATTCTAAGTACCTCATAAGAGTGGAATCATACAGTGTTTATTGTTTTGTGCCTGGCATTTCATGTAGCATCATGTCTTCAAGCTTCACTCACACTGTGGCCTGTGTCAGTATTTCCTTTGAAAGGCGGAGTGATGTTGAATATACATACATTGTCTCTATATTCCATCTTTTGTTGACTGATCCATCCACCTTGGGTTGCTTTCTTTTGGTTATTGTGACTAGTGCTCTGTGTTCATGGGTGTACCAGTGCCTTTTAAAACACTCTGATAAAAAATAAATAAATAAAACACTCTGATAAAGAGGCATGCCGACTTTTACTGGCTGTATAATATTCTGTACTATGATATGGTATTCATTTAAGTATTGTCCTATTACTGAACACCTAATACATTTTAAATATCTTTTGTTATAAAAAAAAAAAAAACCACCTAAACACTAAGCTTCAGCTGAATCTCTGACCACATTCATAGGTATGTCCTGAGGATGAACTTTTAGAGGCCATGGCCATAAAGGCCCAGGCATGAATTCATTTAGCAGAGATATTTTTAAGAGGAGGAAAAGTTACTCAAGGAGTTAGGATTATTTGTTATAATAGCTGAGATCGTCTCTCAGTTGTGTCCAACTCTTTGTGTCCCCATGGTGTGTCCATGGAAATCTCCAGGCAAGAATACTGGAATGATTGCCATTCCCTTCTCCAGGGGATCTTTCCAACTCTGGGATTGAATCAGGGTCTCCTGCATTGCAGGTAGATTCTTTAACATCTGAGCTACCAGTTGGGATTATAGGTTTTTAAAAAATTTTGTTCTCTTTTAAAGCTGCTTTCTAGTTCTGATCTTTATTTAATGATGCACTACTTCTGAATTACATTTCTTGGGGAGGAGCTTGTCCTTTATAATCATTTGGCCTTGAGCTATACCTCCTGGCTTTGGGGTGAAAAGTTAGTTTCTTCTCAGGGCCTCGGTTTTCTCTGTAACATGAACAATATCCACAGTTCTTACCATCTGCAAATATGTCTTGAATATCCACTCTGTGCCTCAGATGAAAAAGCAACAGGACACGTGTTCAGGGAGAGTCTGGGGAGGAAGTCAGCACAGAGAGATCATTGCCAAAGTGTGTGCCTGTGCACATGCTCCTGAGGGCATGGGGGAGGGGCAGTACGTAGTTTTTAAGGGACAAGGTGGGAAGGTGGGCAGACAAGGCTTCCTAGGGACAAAGCCAGAGCTTGAAGAGCAAGTTAGAGCAAAAACGAGGGTTCAGGGACCCTCCGGCCGAGGAAATAGTGTGAGTGAGGACCACCCATAGCTGGGCAGAGAATTAAACTGGGTTTAGCATCCCTAGAGCATCAGGTGCAGTGTAGGCTTGGGATTGCAGTGCATGGTGATGCTGCTGACTGACATAGGGGGTTCAGAAAGAGATCAGGGGGGCTGGGAGAAGATTACATACTGTTCTGAATGCCCATGGGACATCCAAGTCCCTTTAACTAGCGGCACTTGGATTGTGGCTGTTGCTTAGTCATGTCCAATTCCTTGTGGGACTGTAGCCCGCCAGGCTCCTCTGTCCATAAGATTTCCCAGGCAGGAATACTGGAGTCGGTTGCCATTTCCTTCTCCAGGGGATCTTCCCGACTCAGTTGGATGCTTGTGTCTTAATATCAGTGCTGAACCTGAGGTTTGGGAGTCATAGCATCAATAACTCTCCTGAGATATCCATCAGTCACACTGATGGACTTGAAATTGAGCTGGAGTTGAATAAAGTGGTAATTATTATCTCAGTACATGTTGTCAGGACTCAAAAACCAAATTTTAAGTTTTCTTTCACTCAAAGTTTACATGGGCAGCTGTCAGAGACACTTTTCTCATTCAGCTTTTTGAAATCATTATTTACGAAATTTTAACTTCCTGGCTTCCAAGCAAAACTTGCAAAATGTAAAGTAGGGAGTAAGATTAACTTGTTCCTGGGGCTTTTTTTCCTTTTTTTTTTAAGTTGAGTTGAAAAATTTCAGTTTTGAGAGCCAGGAAAAAACAGACCCTTCTCCCCAGTCCTGGGTTCCTGCCCCGACCTGTGTGCGTGAGTTTCTGATTTCCCCTTGGTTTTCTCTCCGGAAGCACACTGAAGGCGTTTGAGCAGCTGCCAGGACACTTGACGGAGGCGCTCCACTTGTTCTCCCTGGAGGACATGGTCCAGGTCAAGAAGGGGCTGCTGGCGCCCTCACTCAGGGACATTCTGAAAGCTTCCCTCGAGCACGTGGCCAGCTGCGAGGTGAGAGCTCCTTGCCCCGGCGGGTGTGGCCCTGAGCTGTCCTTTCTGCGGCCGATCCCGGGTGGGCTGTTCTGCACTTGCCTCCTTTACCCTCACAAACTGAGGAAAGTGCCAGCAACACTTTCCATCACCGTAGTTTAGTCACTAAGTCGTGTCCGACTCTGTGCGACCTCATGAACTGTAGCCCACCAAGCCCCTCTGTCCATAAGATTTTCCAGGCAAGAGTACTGGAGTGGGTTGCCATTTCCTTCTCCAGGGGATCTTCCCAGTCCATGGACTGAACCCACGTCTCCTGCATTAGCAGGCGGGTTCTTTACCACTGAGCCCCCGGGGAAGCCCCTGCACTATTTACCGATGAGTGAAATGAGGTGCAGAGCTGTTCGGTACCAGACCAAGAGTGTCCTGCTGGAATGCAAGCCTGGGCCAAGTGACTGGTAGTCTGAGCACGCAGCCCAGCGTGTGGCCTCCTTCCATTCTCGTATGCTCTGATGTGCCAAGTGCAGCCGCATAGACTCAGGATCCAGTGGGACAGGAGCTCTGTGTCTTCATGGACTGATGAATTGCAGGGGAGCTCCCAGAAATAAAATGAGATCAGTTAAGAACACATGTTGAAAATCATGATCTTTCTCTGGTGCCTCAAACTACCCTGATGCAGTTGTCCACACAAAATGGACGCACATTTATTGCTCTGATCCATCCATTGTGGCAGGAGATAGTATTCTGTTCCTTCCAGAGGCTGGAATCACAGACACTTAAAAAATGATGTTTCAAAAAATGATGTTTTTGAAACTGTATATCATTAGAACTCTTGTGTAGTGAGAGGAGTTTACCATCTTGGCTTATAGAATACCGAACTGAAATTTTTCTTTCATCTGACATGGACAGGCTTTTTAATTATTACTTGTATCCATGACATTCAGTGGCCTTCTGCAAATATGATATGTTGCCTAGGCCTATCTTTTGTCCTGTGAAGAACGTTTCATTTTGACTTCTATGAAAATTGCAATTCACAGATTTATATAAACCTTTAAAATGCAGAAACTTGTTACTTCCACAGCCAATTTAGGGGATTTTAGAATAACAAATTTCAGTACCTGGGGTGGGGAAGTGTGAAAATCTGGTGTTTATAGAGCTCTGTGAAAGTGGAGCTCAGTTTCTCCATCGGGAGAAACATGACCCATGAAGACTCTCACTTTTGACTCCTATTCTTACAGCTCTGTCAAGGAAAAGGCTTCATTTGTGAATTTTGCCGCAGTACAGCTGTCATTTTCCCATTTCAGACTGCAACGTGTAGAAGATGTTCAGGTATCTTAATACCATAATACTGTAAGCTTAATAGCAGTATAACATAAGCACAAAGTTTGTTAACTTAAGCACAAAGTTAACTTAAGCTTGAAAGTGAAAGTCGCTCAGTCATGTCCAACTCTTTGTGACCCCATGGACCCATGGAATCCTCTGGGCCTGAATATTGGAGTGGGTAGCCTTTCCCTTCTCCATGGGATCTTCCCAACCCAGGGATCGAACCCAGGTCTCCTGCACTGCAGGCAGAGTCTTTACCAATTGAGCTATCAACTTAAGCTTAATAACAGCTTAACAACTAAAGCATAGTGTTATTTTCTTAAGGTATAATGATGCTAGTGTATGCTTCTCTGTTGAATTGGAGCTGGTAAAGTTTTGGGTGCACGGGGAGGAGGTGTGAGTGGGGCGGGGAATGATGTCTCAGGGAACAGGGTTCAGAGATAGGAGGTGGCCCTGTTTGACCTATCCCCCAATTCTTCTACATCAGGGCAAGTTACAGCTGCACCTGTTTTGTAATTGAATCACAGTCAACCCCAAGTTCACTGCAGGGGTCCCCAACCTCTGGCATCTAACGCCTGATGATCTGAGGTGGACCTGATGTAATAATAATAGAAATAAAATGCACAATAAATGTAATGCACTTAAATCATCCCCAAACCATCCCCAACCCTGACCCATGGAAAAATTATCTTCTTAGAAACTGGTCCCTGGTGCCAAAAGTTTGCGAACCATTGCCCTAGGGTTTGTTCTCAGGCTCCACACCCACGAGGGTATGAAGGCAGCAGCCTGGGCCAAGGAAGAAGTTGAAGATGGTATGCTTACCATGAAGGCTCAGTGCATCTCTCAGGGGACTGTAGAGCTGGGGTAGATTTTCAGCATTTTCCCAAATTAGGCACAGAGAGCCAGCCAGGCCTTGAGACCTCATATTGACCAGTCACTGGATGTGGCCTGGGACCAGCAAGGGGGCATAACCTTGATCGAGGCAGCGCTCTCTGGTTGGGGCCATTTCCAGAGAAGGGATGTCGCCTCCTGAGCCATCAGCCACCATCTCTCCTGGCACCCACGATGGATGGTCTTTGAGCGGATCTGGGAAGCGCTACCCAAGCTCTCTCGGCCTGTTTCACTGGTCCTCATGGCCTTGTTGTTGTTTTTGTTTAGTTGGTAGGTCATGTCTGAGTCTTTGTGACGTCATGGACTGTAGCCTACCAGGCTCCTCTGTCTATGGGATTCCTCGGGCAAGAATATGGAGCAGGTTGCCATTTCCTGCTCCAGGGTATCTTCCCGACGCAGGGATGGAACCCGTGTCTCTTGCCTTGGCAAGAGGATTCTTTACCACTGGCCCACCAGGGAGGCCCATCCTCATGACCTGCTGGGGACAAGTCCTCTTGGCTTCAGGTCCTCTCTCCCCAGGCTGGGGATGAGCGTCTATTACACATTTGAGAAACCAGTTACCCACTTGCTGATGGCTCTCCTCTTTGCTTGCAGCATGCAGAGCTTGCTTTCACAAGCAGTGCTTCCAGTCCACCAAGTGCCCCCGGTGTGCGAGGATCACAGCGAGGAGAAGACTTCTGGAAAGTCTACCCTCTGCAGCGACATGATGTACTTGACTACAGCGAGAAAGACCGTGCAACATGCCTTACGATCATATCGCTTGTGTCTCCTGTTGATAACATTGTTTTGACTATTGTCTATTAAGAAAAAAGATGACCAATATTCTCTTTATTATATATATTTAATATTTTTGGAGACTGTGGATTCTTTGTTATTAAGAGTAAAGTTGTTACTGGTGCCAAAGAATGCTCAAACTACCGCACAATTGCACTCATCTCACACACTAGTAAAGTAATGCTCAAAATTCTCCAAGCCAGTCTTCAGCAATACGTGAATCATGAACAGATGTTCAAGCTGGTTTTAGAAAAGGCAGAGGAACCAGAGATCAAATTGCCAATATCTGCTGGATCATTGAAAAAGCAAGAGAGTTCCAGAAAAACATCTTTTCTGCTTTATTGACTATGCCAAAGCCTTTGACTATGTGGATCACAATAAACTGTGGAAAATTCTGAAAGAGATGGGAATCCTGACCACCTGACCTGCCTCTTGAGAAATTGTATGCAGGTCAGGAAGCAACAGTTAGAACTGGACATGGAACAACAGACTGGTTCCAAATAGGAAAAGGAGTACGTCAAGGCTGTATATTGTCACCCTGCTTATTTAACTTGCATGCAGAGTACGTCATGAGAAACGCTGGACTGGATGAAGCACACGCTGGAATCAGGATTGCTGGGAGTAATATCAATAACCTCAGATATGCAGATGACACCACCCTTATGGCAGAAAGTGAAGAAGAACTAAAGAGCCTCTTGATGAAAGTGAAAGAGGAGAGTGAAAAACTTGGCTTAAAGCTCAGCATTCAGAAAACTAAGATCATGGCATCCGGTCCCATCACTTCATGGCAAATAGATGGGGAAACAGTGGCTGACTATTTTTCTGGGCTCCAAAATCACTGCAGATGTTGACTGCAGCCATGAAATTAAAAGACACTTGCTCCTTGGAAGAAAAGTTACAACCAACCTAGACAGCATATTGAAAAGCAGAGACATTACTTTGCCAACAAAGGTCCGTCTAGTCAAGGCTATGGTTTTTCCAGTGGTCATGTATGGATGTGAGAGTTGGACTATAAAGAAGGCTGAGTGCTGAAGAATTGATGCTTTTGAACTGTGGTGTTGAAGAAGACTCTTGAGAGTCCCTTGGACTTCAAGGAGATCCAACCAGTCCATCCTAAAGGAAATCAGTCCTGAATATTCATTGGAAGGACTGATGCTGAAGCTGAAACTGCAGTATTTTGGCCACATGATGCAAAGAGCTGACTCATTTGAAAAGACCCTGATGCTGGGAAAGATTGAGGGCAGGAGGAGAAGGGGACGACAGAGGATGAAATGGTTGGATGGCATCACCAACTCAATGGACATGGGTTTGGGTGGACTCTGGGAGTTGGTGATGGACAGGGAGGCCTGGCGTGCTGCAATCCATGGGGTGTCAAAGAGTCAGACAGGACTGAGCAACTGAACTGAACTGAAATGTTACTGGTGATTTTGTTTACAAATGTTCAATGTTTTTGCTGCTACTGGTGTTTTTTTTTTTTAAGGGTTTTTTGATACTTATTAAATTGTATTTGAATTGTTGTATTTAGCTAATGATGGAGGCTATTTTTTATGAATTGTAACTGACAAGATGATTACTCAGTTCCTATTCCTATAAAGCTTGTTTTGTGAAAGAAATGATACTCTCCATGAACAAAAACTGAAAGCAAAAATCTGTCTTCTCAGGCTTTGTTTCTGATCTAAATTCAATTTTGTAACTATCATAGAGACTTTACTTCTTCCAGGGTTTGTGTCCGGGGTATGCCTTACTTTTGCAGTTACATGTGTGTATGGATGGATGCGTTCTGAGTTGCTTAGCAGTGCATGGAGGTGCTATTTGAAGTACTTGCCTCTAGATGGCTCCCTTCAAAGGGCACAAATCAAACCTCTTGTCAACTCTATTCCACAGAGTCAGGGGATGTGTGGATGACTAGAACTTTATCCCTGCCTTTCAGAACTTTGTCTTGTAGATATAAAATTGAACATAGTTGAAAACATAAATAAGCTATTTATGTCTTCAAATACAGGGGAAGTGCTGTTAACGAACAATGTGATGCTAGTAATAACTACAATCACAGACATTCCATTAAGAAGGTTAGGTGAATCACTAAACCTTTATGAATCCTTTTTTCCTATTATTTCTTATATTTGCATGCTTTCTTGAAACATGTGAGCTTATTTTTTCTTCCATCTCCTATATACTTTCTCCTGCTTGGGAAAGAGCCCTGGGGCTGGGTCCCTTCTCCGCACATCTTTAGTCTGGAATGTGGTGTCATATCCCCAGGATTCCCATGCCCTAAGTAAACCTGCTCAGGATGAACTTATCAAACATCACTGGCCGGCAGTAAAGTGGGACAGGTGGTTCCCTCACCCCATCCATCCCTGTGTATGTGTGTGTTTCGTTCAGTGGGTTAATATTGTTGTTTAGTCACTAAGTCGTATCTGACTTTTTGTGACCCCATGGACTGTAGCCCGCCAGTCTCCACTGTCCATAGGATTCTCCAGGCAAGAATACTGGAGTGGGTTGCCATTTCCTCCTCTAGGAGATCTTTTAGACCCAGGGGTGGAACCCACATCTCCTGCATTGGCAGGTGGATTCCTTAGTGCTGAGTCACTGGGGTAACCCTGGGGTGAAATTGAGTCCATGCGAGAAATGAGTGTCTCCTGTAAAACTGGTATTCTCTCATTCTATCCATGTTTTCTTGTCCCAGGTACCTCTGCCAAAGCAGGGTCCCTTTTCATTATTTAAGCTGGGTCTCGATTAAATAGAAATGTAGGCACATAGATGGACAGGGAAGCCTGGCGTGCTGCAGTCCATGGGGTTGCAAAGAGTCAGACACGACTGGGCAACTGAACTGAGGATAAGATAGATGAGATGAAATTTAAGACAATGTTTTATTATTTTTAAATATTTTATTTATTTATTATTTGGCTGCGCTGGGTCTTAACTGTGTCATGTGGGATCTGATTCCCTGACCAGGGATGGAACCCAGGCAACATGCCTTGGGAGTGAGGGGTCTTAGCCACTGGACCACCAGGGAAGTTCTGATAATGTTTCAGTCTTGCCCATAACTTACATTCCCTCTTAGGAACTCAGAGGCCGAGGGACATGTTGATATTCCTGAGAACAGCTCCACGAGGTTCATGTCATTATCTCCTCTTTGCAGGTGAGCACCCTGGGACTTAGAGAAGAGAAATAACTTCCCTAGTTTCCCATGGGTAGTGTATTCTGCCTGCTTCCAAAGACTGTGTCACAGCCTCCACTTCTTCTGTGGTCTCTTTTGGAGATGATAACAACAAAAACAGCTTTAACTTGTAAGAGCTGGTCACACCCAAGTTGGTGGCATTGTGCCGAATCCCATCCTTCCCTTGTGTTTGTTTGTTTGCGGGAGTTGATGTGGCTCACACATTGCTTGAAGGGCTCTGCGTTCAGGCTGCCATGTCTGTAAGACACTGGTGAGTGTGTGGGTCTGTGTGAATGTGTATTTGTGCCTGTGCATGGGTGTGTGACACATCTTCAATGTTGATGAAGAGTGTACCAGAGCTACCCAGGAAGTGAGACTTGTGAATTTTTGTTTTGAGGAAGAAGGTAGCCATTGGAATAGCCAGTCTACAGATCTGACTGGACTGTGGTTCCTCCCAGCCATGGTCATAGAGGCTCCATCTCAGTAAGGTACCTGTTGGAACAGAGAAGTGGCCTGAGCTCACGTGCAGCATCTTGGAGGGAAGTAATTTCTCGTGACTTCTGTTGTTTGGTTTCTAAGTTGTGTCTGTCTTTTGCAACCCCATGGACTGTAGCCCACCAGGCTCCTCTGTCCACAGGGTTTTCCAGGAAGAATACTGGAGCCGGTTGCCATTTTCTCCTCCAGGGGATCTTTCCAACCCAGGAATTGAACCTGAGTCTCTTGGGTCTCGTGCGTTGACAGGCGGATTCTTTACCACTGAGCCACCTGAGAGGCCCTTGTTGTGACATAGATTGCTCTCTAATAGGATTTACTCCTTGCCTGGTTTTCCCATGTGATTCTTCCTCGATTGCCGGAAGGAAGATGAAGACCTGGTGTTTTTCATCAGATGATGGTCCACTGTGGGGCGCCGAGATGCAGAACCCGGGGCCCAGTGATTAACTTTCTGCCTTTGTATTCTTCACTTGGACAATCCCAGTAACATGTGCGTTACAGGCCAATGCCCTGCAGTTAGGGAGTTACACCAGGGCACATGGGTGAGGAGGGTGAGCCATCCCAAGGATGTTCTGCTGTATTGCCTTGGGTGAGAATCATTGGCTGAAACTACGGACCAAATCCCACATCTGCGCTTCCTACCCAAGTGAGTCTGACCACACTATATCCATGACCTGAGCTGTTTGGAAATAAGGGGATGATAACAGTGTGTAGTTGATATGAGGATCTGACATGAAAACAAATCACCCAGCAGAGGGCTGGCTGACCCCAGGCGGGAGCATGGAGGCAGGAACCCAGCTGGATGAGGGTCGCGGTGGACCTGGGGCACGAGGCCCCTGGAGGGCCTGGCAGAGGCCTGACACGATGCAGAGAAGAGCTCAGGACTGGCTTCAGCTCTGTGGTTAATCTCTGGGATCCCTCTGGACCGGAGAGCTGCCCCTTCATGTGTGAGGAAGCAGGGAAGTGTGTTTCTCAGTTTTAGGCTGAGGTTTTCCAGCTGTGTTTGCACTCTGCCTCCCATGGTATCGCTCATGAACACACTGTTTGAGTTCCTGGTGAAGTGAAAAAGAGAACTCTGCTTCTTCTTCCCAAACCAGTTGGGGAATTATTTCAAGAGAGAGGCCCTTAAACGTTTGTTTTGAGGAAACATCTCACAAGGATGTTGACAATGAGGCATTGCAATTCTCCCTCACATCCCCCTTTGGAGAAGACCTTGAGAAGTCACGTGATGGAGGCTTCCTGTATGTGGCATCTGGCTTACCTGAAACCCACTGCACCATGGTGACTGGGACTGAAGTTCCAGACTCCCCCCTGACAGGCTCACAACGTCCCTCTTGGTGAGAAGAGGAAGCCGGCTACAAGGAGTCTGTGGGACACATGAAGTCACCGGCCTGCCGTCCGGAGCCCTGGGCCTGTAAAGGCTTCCTGCCACACCCAGGCAGGGACAGGAAAGCTTCTAACTGCTCACTGGGAAGTGTCCCCTTCTCCACCTGCCTGCAGTGAAGTGAAAGGGCCAACTCTTTGTGACCCTGTGGACTGTAGTCCGCCAGGCTCCTCTGTCCATGGGATT